GTCACTGAGCCAGAGCTCTCGGTGCACTCAGCTTCTTCCCAGTGCTGCACTTGCTGTTGGAAGGGAACAAGAGTGCCCAAACCTCTCCCATAAAGCCCAAAACTGGGGAGACAGAAAGCTCTGGAACTGTCTGTATCAACATCCCACCAGGCTGGACCTGGGATGCAGTTTCTCCAGGCAGATTTATTTCAGCTGTCCTGCTTTCCTTAGGGCTTGTGAGTTCCCCCAGGATATTTTCCTCCCGTGTCCAACCCAGAGATCAACTGGCCTTTATTTGGTTTGGAAAAGAAAAGTAAAAGAAGATAAACTGGGTGCAGGTGGTGCAGAACAGTCATACAGCAGTTTAATTAAGTGCCTTTAAATGTGAATTCAGAACAGTTTCCCTGGATGATCTTATATAGGCAAATCCTGAGTTGTCTTAAGCCACTTGCAGAGCACGTTCAACTAATAAGGTATTCTTAGTGCTGACCAGGAGCCTTGCACAGGACAGTAATCAGGAATGATTGATTGGAAATAGCTCTTCTAAACCAGGCTGTACCTGCTGTGCTCTCCCGTCCTGCCCAGCTCTGCCCGGAGCTGACGCCTTCCACTAGACCAGGTTGCTCCAATCCCCGTCCAACCTGGCCTTGAACACTTCCAGGGGATGGGAAATCCCAGAGAACCCATTCCTGGTCAGGCACGACCTCATGTGACAGCAGCTTCTGTCCTGGAGTCCCCTGTTCTCCTCCTTCAGCTAAAACAATCCCACAGTGTCTGTGTGCCTCCTGCACGCCAGGTTTGACCTCAGGCCAGTGAAACTTTCAGAAGTCTCTTTTTGCTTTCAGCACATCCTCGACTATTTCCCTTCTCCATTCTCCCCTGCAGCAGCAGCCTTTGAGCAGTAATTCCACAGGGAATACCTGCTGCAGCCAGAGCTGGCTGGGAGGGAGCACAGGGGCTGAAATCCGTGTTAATGGGCTCTGCTGGAGTGGCTGAACCTCCTGTGGGAGAGTTTTGCTTTCCCAAAGTCGAGGCTTGGGGAACTTGCTCCTCAAATGACGCTTTAAATAATACCCAGTAACGCCACAGAGGAGACAGTTCCCTGCTGGAAAGCGCATTTCGCTTGGTGTCAGCAGTTCAGAAGAAACCCATCTGCAGGAAATTACGATGGCAATTTCCTCTGTGCGGGGGGAGGAATTACAGCTGTAATCCAGCAGGCAGACAACAGCCTCCTCTCCTCTCTCTCATAGCAGTTACTCTTAAAAACTTGAAGCCGTGTGTCCATGCAGAGACATCTCTACCCCACCCAGGAAGGGCAGGCTGGAAGAAATGATGTGGTGCAGGGAGGGAACAGCTCAGCATCTGAGGACCAAACAAGTGTGTATTTTGAAAGAAACCTTTTCTATAAGAAACAGACTGAGAAAACTCAGTTGCAAAAAGCTGCAGGACCACAACTCTTAGTGTGTGCAAGATGGTTTTTCTGGGGCCAAAACTGGCCTTGAAGGCTGTGATGGTTCATGAACATGTGAAGATAACATTCATCAGAGGAAAGAAATTAAAAACTGGGTAGAAAATGTGCCCATGGGACACCCTTTGCAAGCCAGGTCTTGGTAAGGTCACACCTGGAAGCCAAGGGATCACTCCAGGTCCACAGCATGACATTTATATGGTCAGCTGGTAATAGGACAAGGGGGAATGGTTTTAAACTAAAAGAGGAGAGATTTAGATTCAATATTAGGAAGGAATTCTTTACTCAGAGGCTGGTGAGGCCCTGGCACAGGTTGCCCAGAGAAGCTGTGGCTGCCCCATCCCTGGAAGTGTTCAAGTCCAGCTTGGATGGGGCTTGGAGAAACCTGGGATAGCGGAAGGTGACCCTGCCTGTGGCAGGGGGTGGAACAAGACAATCCTTAAGGTCCCTCCCAACCCAAACCATTTTATAATTCTGTGGTTCTATGATTCCAGCAGAGATGGACCCAGCCTGTGTCTGAATTCACAACCTTTTCTGCGAGGTTCTGCCATCAATCTGCTGGCTGAGAAGACCTTTCCCCATCACCAGCTGCCTTAGCAGTTGTCAGCATCTTCCTGCTTCTCCCAGCACTGCTGCTGGAGCTGACGGGAGTTTGATTATGATTTAATCCAGGCTTTTAGAGGAGGGAAAAAAGAAAGTTTTGACAGTTCCATATTTAGCCCTCTGACTCACCGATTTCATGTGTCAAACACTAAAGACGGGTTAAGTAGAATTAAGTTCTGCATTTATTATAAATAGGCATTAAGTAACACGAATGTACTGCATTTGCATGAAAATATGGGCCTGATTCTCTAATTTACCCCAGAGATTTTGTTTGACGTCGATGGGACCCTCCCAGGTGGGAGCTCAGATCAGAGCCAGCCCAGCTCTGACCATCCCCTGCTGCCAGCGGGAACTGGACCCAGTGAAACAGGGAAATCTCTGCTGAAATCAGGAAGGATTTGCTCTGCTTGCACAGATCAGGATTTGACCCTTAAAATAGTACAAGTAGTTTTAATTACCCCCCAGATCTGCAGCTGAAAGAATAATTTCCCCGTGTCAATCAGTGCTAAATGTACCTGTTAAATCAGGGAAGATGGGTTAAGGTGAAAATTGCACAGAAAGTCACTTTTCTCCTCTTTCTCCCAGAAGTTGGAGATTTGTTGGATTCAGATATTATGGACCATCTCATCCTGCTCCGATTACCTTCTGCTTAAAGGTCCATCCAGACAATGAAGTCACCCCCACTCAGAGCAAGCCTGACAGTGGGGCATTGTTTGGGTGAAAACAGTCCTCTTTAGTGAAATCAATGCTTCTGCAAGGAGGGTGACAGACACAGACTCTACCAAATCAGAGCCCTCTTCAATAGCTTAATTTACTGACTTGTTCTTGCTAAACAATTGAGAATTGGTCCATGGAGAAGGACACAAAAAAGGACGGACAATGTGGGCTGTATTTTGAGGCTGGACTAGTCCAAGCCAAGGAAAAACAGGCTTTCAAGCCACCCAGTGGCATTGTTTCTGGAAAAATGATGTTCACCCCTGCACCTTTACCTTTATTCAGAAGAGGAGGCTTGGCCCTGTTTCTGCTGAGGGTGAGGGAAAGGCATGAGCAGCATAAACAGCCAAGGGCCACCAGGACTGAGTGACAACCTCAGCCCTGGAGAGCTTGCTCTTATCATCCCATGGAGCTGTTGTTCATGCAGGAACAGCACAAAAAGCTCCAGGAGCTTTTCCTGGCCCTGGTAGGACCCTGAGGCTCCAGAGCCTTCCCAGCATCGTTCTGCCCTCGGTTGTGATTTTTCTTATCAAACACCACATTCTGCTCCCTGCTATGAAAATAATTTCCAATTAAATGCCTCCTCAGAGCCTATCTGGCTGGGAATTAGCCTGGCACTTGGTGACTGGGTTGTTAGCTCATCAAAGTCTCTGGGATGAGGGGAGGTGCTGCCTTGGGAGGGATATGCTGGCCGAGGATTTTGCTCGTGGCTTTGAACTCGCCACAGCCCTGCAAACTGGGACATGGGTGCCCTTTGCTCACCTTCAGCACTTCTCTGTTCCCCTTCACCCCACAGCTGAGTAAGCAACTCCAGGGCTATGAAACACAGCCCTGTGGCAGCTTCCTGTGCTCCAGCCCTCCAGGAATCCCAGCTTTTGAGGCCCTGGAAGGAGCTGGCCACGCACTCCAGCTCACAGGGAACGGATTATCATGGCTCTCGTGACTCAGTCTGTGGGTCCCATGTGCTCCCCTGCATGGAAGGGAGAGAAGCAGGCATGAAGCCTCAGTGTGGCCCCTAATCAGCTGCCTAACTGGTCTCTGTCCCCAGGGACCTTCCCTGGGCTGGCAGTGCCAACCATTGCTCTCTCCTGACAGTGGGCACTTCGAGGGGGTCTGGATGCTGAGGGTGACAACAACGGTGTGGTGGTTGTTGCCTCTTCATGAGCAGAACAGATAAAAACCAGGAAGCTCAGAAAGCTGGATATGGAGCTGGGAAGGATGGGGAGGGAACAGTAGCTGTGATCCCAAAGTGCTACTGGGGATGGTGAACCCCTGGATGCTCCTGTTGGAGCAAAGAGGTTCAAAGTTCCAGGTTGTGGGTCAGTTCAAACACTGTAAAGAGGAGAACTGGTAAAATGACAGTTGTGAAGCCAGAGAGATATCAGAGCATGTGGTTCAGGGCTGGTTTTGGGGCATGGAAATCCCTTTGGTCCGTGTAGTGTGGGGTCCCAGCAGCTCCTTGCTCCATCCTTCTTAGTGGTCCTTGGAGCACCATCCACACTCCATTGTGATGATGCTGCTATGGCAACCAGGCCAGTGATTGTTCCACAGGGTATGGGACAGTGCAGGCCACAGGATGGGGCTGGGATCAGTCCCCTTCTAGGTTCTCACCTCTCCTGAGCTTCCCACTGGAAGAAGGGCTTGTTCTCTGGGAATACGCAGCTGCCACCACGGTGCCGTGTCCTGGCTGGAGAGGAGCTGCAGTACCAGGGGGGGCTGAGCAGTGTTGTGGGGTTCAGGGGGACCCAGGGGGCTGCAGTGTGGCTGCTGGGGACCAGTTCTGGTGTTAGGGATGTGGGGTCTGCTCTAGAGCCCTCCCTGGCAGCAGCGGGATGGGGTGGGGAGGAAGCGGGGGGGGGTGTGAATCCAGGTGTTCTTCAGGAATTCTACCCACTGGCACAGGGTGGGGGGGACTGACCTCACTGGAATTTCTATGGAAACCCAGGTACTGAAAGGGGTGGAATAGCTCAAACCATCTGTTCCTCCCCTACTTGTAAACTCGATCAGTTCACGATGACATCACCAAAAATACTCTCCTTTTATTCCTCTCGCAGCCATCTGTGATGGTTTCCTCCTGTGCCAAACACGCGAGCGGGTGCTGAGGGATGGGCAGGAGGACACAACCACCCCATTACTCCCGTTTCATTTTTTCCCCTTGGACAGCAATCCCTGTGGAGTCTCCTTTGTCCCCTTTCTGAGGCCTCTACGGAGTAACCCGCAGAGTTAGGCAGGAAAAATGAAGAGCTCAAAGGTAAAAATGAAGCACAAACTAAAGCTGAACTTTGCAGGGACTGCAGAAGATCTGCCATAGGGATCTTACCCGTGGGAATACGGGTCCAGCCAGCCTTGCTTCTGCCAGCAAGGTGCTGGGTTGCAGTGGGGCTGTTTCTGCCTGCCCTCCTGTACCAGGGATGAGGCCATGGCCTGGGGTTTGGGTGTTGGGAGAGGCAGGTTTGGGCAGTGTAGGTCACCTGAGGACACAGGTGGTGGTAGATCTGCCACAGCTTCAGTGCTCACCTGTTGGGCAGGTTCTCAGTAGAAGTCACCTTCCCACATCCAGGGATGGGAGCACTCCTGCTCCACTCGTGGGCAAGGTCACCTGGGTTCCTCCACGTCCACAGCACCAGTGGGTTTGGTTCTGGCTGACATGGCCCTTGCAGTGTGACAAAACAGGTGACAACCTGCGATGCCCTGCCCTCCCTGGTGGTGGAGGTGTGTCCAGGAACTGAGGTTTCAGGTGGTGATGGGTATCTCAGGTGCCAGAGAAGGGCTGGGGCTGGTGATGCCATTGACCCACTCCCCCACGTGCTGGCTGCCAGTGCTGGTTGTGTTTGCTCGAGTGACCAAATCCTCCCTCTCTGCGACAGCGGAGAAAACCCTCCAAGAGCCAGGACCTTTCGGAACTCTCTGAGCATGAGAAGGACAGAAGGGCTAAAATGGAGATCAGGAAACTGCAGACACAGTATCATCACGCAGCGTGCAAGAGGAAATTTTACGATGCCGAGATCTGGCGGCAAATCCAGGCTCAGCAGTGAGTGCAGATCCACAGGTCATAGTCCATTTGAGAAGCTCCTCCATGAGCTGCAAAATCACACAAGAGTTTGGGCTGGAAGGGACCTTAAGGTTCAGCCAGTTCCACCCCCTGACCATGGGCAGGGACACTTTAGACCAGGTTGCTCCAAGTCCCATCCAAGCTGGCCTTGGACACCTCCAGGGATGGGGTAGCCACAGCTTCTCTGGACAACCTGGTATCACCCTCATTCTTAGAACTTCCTCCTAAATATAATCTAAATTTCTCCTCTCTCAGTTTAAAACCATTCACTCTTACCACTATCTGACTGTGTAAAAAGTTACTCTCTCTTTTTTTATAAAGTGATGGTGGGGACCACAGTGGTGAGATGGGGAGGGGGAAGGACCTGCCCTGGCCTTGCAGCTGGGATGTGCTAAATGTTCTTTGTCGTTCTGTTTTTACAGAAAAGCAATAGATGATCTGAATGAAGAACACAGACACGTGTCATTAATGCTGAGCCAGATCTATTCCCCGAAAAATGTGATGCTAGAAAACAGAAAGCGTGTGAAGGTTGAAACCCTTTCTCAGATCAGAAATCATAACGAGGCCCTGATCAAAGAGAAAAAAGCCCAGGTAGCTGACCTGAGCAAGCAGGTGAGAGCATCTGGAGCACTTCTTGGATGAAACTCCTCAATGTAAAACACATTTAATTCAGGCCTTGGAATATTCCTCCTGGCAAATGACACACAACAGTGACAAGTGGGTAGAGCCAGACTCCCATTCAAGTCAGAAGCACTGACTGGAAAAGTAAGGCCAGACTCTAAAACTGGTTGTACTACCAGTGCTTGCAGCCCCTGTGGGATGGTACATACCTGCCTGGGGTCACACAACATCCCTCTGCTTCTCCCTTCACTTTTTTTATTGTCCTGAAAAAGGCAAAAATGGAACGTGTGTGTTGCTGAGGTGTGACAAATAGAGCTGAGGGATGAGGACCTGGGGGATGTCCCATCCTTTCTCCTGAGGACATCCTGGTTGGATTTGGGCAGCAGTGGGGTGGGAGGCCAAGGGAAAAGTGGGGCTATGGAAGTGATAGGGCCCTTCAGCCTTCTGCTTTGAGCCAGCTGTCCGTGATGGAAGATCAGGAACATCTTAGGTAATTTGCAGTTGCTGGAGGTGCTGTAGAGCTTTCCCAACAGGGTCAGCTTTCACTCAGGGATCTCTTGGCTCAGTCATACCTCCCTAACCTGCCCCTTCTTCACTGTTCTCCAACTACTTCATTCTTCCTGTGGATTTATTTGCTCTGACAGCTTCCCACTTCTGGCAAAATTTTCCTCTGCTGATTCCCAGGGAGAACCCCACGAATCCCTGCCTGGCCAGCACATAACCCCAACCGAAACCCCATCCTCGTTGCCTCTTCCACCCCACAGAGTGCTGCTGTGCCGTGCTCAACACCTGCTGGAGTTCCCTCCAGGGGCAGCTGCACTTTCTTCATGACACGAAAATAAACCCATTCCCAGTTACAGTTTATGTTTCTGCACGTGCAGGATGGGATCCTTTGGGATAAAAGCTGCTTCTATAAGTGTGAGCTCATTAATGACATGGTTGCTGCAGTTCAGGTCAGCAGAGGGTATTTTCTTTGGCTGCATGTCCTGACAAGAGTCCAGAACGCAGGGGTGGAGATTATACTTCCTTTTTTTTTTTTTTTCCCCACTCTGTATGTGCAGACAAGAGAGTTTGAAAAACAGACTACAAAGCAAAGAAAGATAACGGCGAAGGCATTGGAAGCGAGGAATTACAAATGGCTGCTGGAGAAGGTCGATGGAATGGAGTTCCGGCTTAACCGAGTAAGCAAACATTTTGGAGACCTTTGTGAGGCCACAGAGGGGCCTGGGACCTTCTTGGTCAGGACAAAGCGCAGTGGTGCAAATTTCTGTGGTCGACACAAGCTGCATAAAGCACTAGTCTGGTTCCCCATGCCTGATTGCTCCCAGAATATCTCAAAGGCTCCTTCAAGCTCGGTGACCCAAAAGCAGGGCCTGTGCCGTGCCAAGAGGCCTGAAGGTCTGCACCTGTTTAGTGATCAAACCAGGCTGCCTGGAGCCACCTTGCCTTGGACAACACCAGCTCCAGGTGTCTGTTGTGATTGCCCTGATCCTCTGTTGCCTTTCCTCTCTCGGGGAGGAGGACAGTGCAGGGCCAGCTTCAAATCTCCTGGGCTGTGTTTATCCCTACCCTAGTCAAGATCTTCAAGCAGAGACCTGAGCCCCTTAATCTCCCACCAGTCCCAAACCTTTTGCTCCGCTCTCCCCAGGCCACTGTGCGTTACAACACTATCCTGACCGGAAACAACAGGCTCCGGGAGGAGACCCGGAGCCTGACAATCCAGAAAGCCATTTTTGACAAGTACTACTGGAAGTACGAAAGGCAGCTGACTCAGCAGAATAGGCAGTTGAACATTGCTACTGAAATCGCCATAGAAGACTACGAGCATCTGTACGTGGCCCTGCCAGCCCTGCGGGGAAAACTTGGTGCTGAGGGGCAGTGCCAGCGATGAGTATCGATGTTTAGAGGCCAGCTGTGTCTTCAGAGAGAGGAGTTGCTGCTCTCATCCAGAGCTGCCTGCTGAGGGTTGGGTGCCTGGTCAGTGCAGGGAGATTAGTGCCTCCAGGGTGTTTTATTCCACCTATGCCAGATATTTCTCAGGATGGGGTGAATTGTCTCTTCCTTCTGAGTCCCACCTGAGCTGGGCACGATGCCCGAGTGCCAAACCCCACCAAGAGCTGTGTTTGTTTGCTGCTGGCCTTGGAGTAACACCACTACACCCAGATGAGAGCCAGGAACAGGCACAGCATCACGGGGAAGGCTGGGCTAGATCAGGCACAGGGGTGCATGGGAATGGCCAGGAACACAAAGCACGGTGTGACTGCTGCTCTCTGTGTGCAGGATGGAGTGTCTCTCGAAGATCTCGGACATTAGGGAAGTACGCTACAAACACACCATCAAGTTCAACATCAAGATGCTGGAGCTGAAGTGTGCCCTTCAGCAGGAGTTCAAACGGAAAAATTTCTTTGTCACCAAATGTACAGATCTGTCCGAACTGAAGGAAAAGGCCAAACAGAGAGAAGGTATCAGAGGAGGGAGAATATGTGTAACTGGGCCCACAAACCCAGAGTACACAGAGTTGGCAGGGGGGCTGGTTATGGTGGTTTATAGCACTGCACCCCAAAGGCAGGACCTCTGCTCTGCCTGCAGGCTCCCTAACCCAACCTTCACTCTACAAGGGAAAAGGCTGAACAGTGATAACTGAGTGAGGTCACCCAGCACTGAGGGCCTTGGGGTGCCTTTGGGGACCTGCTCCTCTTGCAGCCATGGCTCCCTTTGTCATGTTTTGGGTTGGTTTGGATTGGAAGGGACTTTAAAGCCCATCTCATTCCACCTCCTGCCACAGGCAGGGACACTTTACACTAGACCAGGTTGCTCCAAACCCCATCCAAGCTGGCCTTGGGCACTTCCAGGGATGGGGCAGCCACAGTTTCTCTGGACAACCTGTACCAGGGCCTCACCACCCTCACAAGGAAGAATTTCTTCCTAAAATCTAATCTAATCTAATGTACTCATTTTATCCTCCTGATAAGGGGTCCCATTGTGTTTGCTCCATTCCCTTGAGAACATTGAGCTCCCTGCTTAGTTTCTGTGTGAAATAAAGACCCCCTCTGGCCCTCTGGGGAGCACCACAGCAAACCCCCCAGCACTGCAGGGAGGGCTCTGCTAAGGACAGCTGGGGCTCTGTGTCTCTCTCAGCTTTGAAGGCCGCTGAGTGGGCCAAGCAGAGACAGACAGAGAGTTATGAGGTGGCCTACAAGGACCTGCTGGAGAAGTCGGACGGAGAGATCGACCAGTTCTTGAATGAGTTCGTGGAAAAGAACAGGAGATTCTTCATCCTCTTCGCCTATGGCATCAGGCTGAATGCTGGGAATGAGGGCATCAGACAGAGGATGAAGGACATTCAGGTCTGTTCCAGGCTCTTCACGTCTCCCTTTTCCATGCAGCGCTTTTGGCCTGGGGTGGGTTTGTCCTCTCCTGAGTGTCCAGTGTTGCTGCCCACAGCAGAGCCTGGCTGGCTGGCTCCCACACGGGTGGGATTTAAGGGATGAAAAGGAGTAGCCAAAAATACAATTCCCAACGCTTGTGTTCTCAGAACTAAACGTGTCTCAATGCTGCCACCGTGCACCCAGGAAAAATACTGCAGTATCCAGGACAGCCAAGAGCTTCCTTGAAGTGTGTGGCGCTGGCTGGAACGAAAAGTGGGGGCATCCATGCCCTGCCCTCCTGGCCTGGGGACAGTGATCCCCAGAGGAGTCAAGAGGAATGTCCCTGCTCCCAGGGCAGAGGGGTGTCCCCAGTCTCTGTTTGGCATGTCTGGTGAGCATTCCATCAGCACCCCTTCCATGTGCTTGTGTTTGCACAGAATGATATGACAGCCACCATTGTGGACAGGGAAGAGGAGGTGACGGCCCGGTTTCATGTCATGCAGGAGATGGAGGTATGGCAGCCTTGAATTCCCTCTGGAAGGGCTGCAGATCCCTGTCTGTCCCGACACTTGTGCCAGGGAGTCTGGTCCTGTCAGCGCTGCTCTGGCAAGTGGCTGGAGAGCTGTGGGTAGAAATGGGCCCTGCAAAGGTTTTGGCAGCTCCCAGTGTATGGTGAGAGGGTGACTGTGGGGCTCCTGCCAGCCCTGGTCTGGCATGGGGAGCTTGAGATGGGAGCATCCCACAGCCTCTCCTGGGCTGCCTTCTTTAGTTTATATCTAAAGAGTACTGTGTGAGTGGCCAAGCACTGGATCAGACCGTCCTCAGAGGGTGTGGAGTCTCCCTCACTGGATATATTCCAGAACCACCTGGATGCAATCCTGTGTGATGTGCTCTGGGATGAGCAGGAAGGTTGGATTAGATGACCCACTGTGGTCCCTTCCAACCCGACCCGTTCTGTGATTCTGTGACTCTGTCTCCAGCATCCAGACTGAACCTGGGCAGCACTGGGGTGGTGGGATCAGCGAGGGGCTGGTGTGACACCTGCCAAAACCTTTGCTGACAGGCAAAAATAACAGAAGCCACTGAGGAAGACAACATGTATGAAGCCAAAGGCAAAGAGAGCAGCAAACTCGTGGGACAGCTTCAATCCCGCATTGAGTCCCTCTCGAAAGACACTGACTGCGACACCACAAAGATAGTGAAGCCGCTCGGGAGCAGCTTGCTGCCACTTTTTGGTAGGCCTGCCTTCCCACACCACGTGGCCTGAGCTGTGTGTGTCCACCACCCTCTGTATTTTAATTGAGCTGGTTTTTTTCCCTCTGCCCTATCAGGCAGGGTGTGCCCAAGGTGAATTTGCAGCACCAAATTCCCAGCGAGTTCAGGAGCCAACTCAGCTGTATAAATATCCCAGTGGTCCCCCAAACCCTCATCTTGCCCCCGGGTGTTGTAGAGAGGTGGGGGTCAGCCTTTTCTCCCAGACAGTTGGCAACAGAACAAGGGGAATTGCATGAGGGGAGGTTCAGGTTGGATATTAGGAAAAATGTCTTCACTGAAAGAGTGGTCAAGTGTCGAAACAGGCTCCCCAGGGAACCATCCTGGAAGCGTAACAAAAACGAGTGGACGTGGCACTTTGTGATATGGTTTAGAAGGCATGGGAGTATTCAGCTGGAGGTCAGACTTCATGATCTTGGTGGAGGTCTTTTCCAACCTTACTGATTCTGTGATTCTATGATTTCATGACCCAGCCTTGGTCCCTTGCCCCTGGGGAGTCAGGCTGCCCACCGTTGCTCCCTCGGGGAAGCCAGCGGATCCCCTGCTCTGCAAAGGCCAGGGCGGGAGGGTTTGGGCAGGGTCCTGGTGTAGGATCTCGGTGCAGGGACCCTGTGGGATGCTGCTCCTTCCCACCCAGGTCCTGTGGAGGAGAAGGCCGATGAGTTCCTGGTGGTGGAGTCCCTCCTGCGCTACACGTCAGTCGACCGCGCGCACCGGTCGCAGTCCTTCATCAGCCCCGTGAGTGGAAATGAGGTGCTCCTCTGGGCACTGGATCGGGACAAGATCAGCCCGCCGCCCCCCAGCCTGGACAGCACCGACCCCGGCGCTGGTGAGCACGGGAGGAGGGAGGGAAGGGCCGTGGTTGTGCAGGAGCCGTTCCCCAACTCCTGCATGGCCAACCCCTGCAGCCACACACCCACATCCACACACATCCACACACATCTGCACACATCTGCACACATCCACACACATCCACACACATCCACACACATCTGCACACATCCACACACACCCACACACATCCACACACATCCTCCCTGGTCAGCCCCAAACAGCCTGTCCTGCCCCGCCGGGTGCATAAAGCTGGTGATAGAATGGAGTGGTCGTTCTCTCGGGCAGCTGAAGAGCCGCTGGACAAGGACCGGCTGCGTCAGATGATTGTCAAGAGGCACGAGGAGGAGGCGGCCAAGCCCCCCAGCACGGGCAGGAAGAGGAGGAGATCCCCATCAAAGAGCCCAACGCGGGCGAAAGTAAAGAAGCAATTTCACTCTTGAACTTCTGTGGCCTGGACGTCACTCCATCTTCCCAACACCTTCTGCAGGCTTCAAAAGCTCACCAGGTGGTATTTTGGCCAGGTTTCACCCGCTGCTGACAGACCCACAGCTGCGGTCAGGATCAGCTGCTCTATGTCGGGGTGACATCCCTGTCACACAGCTCAGCGTGCTTCCCGGCAGCCAGATTTGGGGATCATGGTCCTGCTCCTGAACCGTGCCTGGCGGGTGGGATGCAGAGGGGTGACTGTGCTTGCAGGGTGTTCCCTGCTAAGCTGGTAACTCTCTGCTGCCTAAAGTAAATCTGAACTCAGTGCTGGTCCTGGGCTGGTGGGACCAGACGGGATGGCCACAGCCCAGTGTGGGGTGGGAGCAGGGAGACAGCAAGGCAGAGGGATTCGAGGGCACACGAGGGTGACGTGCAGTAGGGCTGGGAGTATGGGGGCAGTGGGGTCTGGGAGGGGTTCAGGGTCTCCCGTGGGGCACAGACGCACCGTGCAGACACACCACACGAGCCCCAGCACTGCTCACACCAGCAGCTGCTTTTCCTCTTGCCAAAGGGCAGTTTAATGGGGATGCCATTCCTGTGCCAAATTCCCAGGCACGTGCCTCTCCAGGGGAAGAGGAAAGGGAAGCCCCGTGTGACCTGGGGAGAGGTGATCTCCCAGTGGCAGCCCCAGCCCTGAGCGTGGGCTAGTCCTTCTCTTCGCCGTGCGTGATGACGTGGACCAGGTTCTTGTAATCCAGGTTGCCCGACACGTCTGGAGGGAAGGCTGCAAACATCTGGTCGATCTGCCAGGGAAGAGTCAGGTTGGAACGGTGGCCCAGAAGGGTTTTGGGACCAGGGCTGGGAGAAGGGCTGGGGTCTGTCGGGATGAAAGGCATGGGAAGCTGGCATAGGGTGGGAAGCAGCTCATACCTCTTCCTGGGAAAACCTCTCGCCCTGTGTCATCAGCATTTCTTTGATGCTGCAAACAAGAGACTGTGGTAAGCACTGGGGAGGTCTTGGTGGGGACACCCCTCCTCACCCCCTTCCCCAGGTACCCTTGCACTCACTAGGCAGATTTCAGGCCTTTTCCCTCGGGATCAAACACCTTGAATGCGTTCAGGATCGTCTCCTCCGGGTCAGCACCTGTGGGTGACACAGCCGTGGCCATCGGAGGTGGCAGAGCAGGAATCCTCCTGCTTCCCCCAGCCTTCCTAGGAGGAAGCAGGGTCCCTGCAGGAATGCTGACCCTGCAACTGGACACTTGAGTGCGGGTGGTGGCACGTAAAGGAGCAGACGCGGGGTGGTGGTGTGAGCACAAAGCAGGCTGTGTCGCCACCGCTCCGGCATCCGGCGTTTATCTAATCTTTGCAGGGTATTTATAGAGCTCCGGGCTCAGCCCTTGGGGCCCTGTAGCCTCCTGGAGATCCGCAGGAGGCTGCATTCCTTGGGTTAAGTACATGATGCAGGGTGCAGCTGGATGGGGCAATGGGTCAAAGTGTGGCTGGTGGCCGGCATGGCCATTGGTGCCACCGCTGGTGCCAGAACGATCAGAGGTACTACAGGAACTCCTGTCCCCCCCCTTCCTGTGGGGACAGCAGCATCACAGCCATTTGGGTTTTGTAAATGGCTGGGGAAACTGAGGCACGGAGACCATCTCATACCCTCCCATGGAGTGAGATGGAGTGAGATTGGGGTCCCCCAAGGAGCCTTTGACAGGTCTCACCTGGAAGGGTTTGAGGTCCCAGGAGCTGGGTGGCTTCCCCAGGTGGGACAGGATGTTGATGATGGTGTGGGTGCCCACTGACCACCACCCACCTCCCTGGGTGCTCACTGACCACCCTCCAGCTCCCCAAACTCACCCTTGAGTTTCTCCCCAAACATGGTGAGGAACACGGTGAAGTTGATCGGACCAGGGGCCTCCTTTATCATCTCATCGATCTCCTCATTTTTCACGTTCAGGCGCCCTGAGGAGAGCAGTGTTGGGTCAACTCCATGTCCATCTCTGGCTGCTCTGCTCTATGTGCTGGGGGCTAGAACACGCCATGGGACCCTTCCTGTGGGGGTTTCCCCACCACTGAGGGAAGCAGCACATCCCTGGGGAGCCACCTCTGGCAAGGAACAGCAGTAGCAGAGCGGGGAGAACCATCTGCAGCTCTGGTTTCTTGGGCTCCAGGATCACAGAAAAGAGGGATGCTGTGCTGCTTCCTTCCTTCACTGCCCCATGGATCAGCCTGCTTCAGCCCTCCTCAGGAGGTGTTTTGGGTCAAACCCACCAGCACTGGGGTTCCCTCTGGTCCCCAGTGCCAGAAGGTGATGGGACTGAATGCCTCCATCCTTTTTCCTGGGGCTGGGTTGTCCTTGGGACTCCCTGGCCCCATTGCTGATTCATGGTGACCTCCCTGAGGGGAGAGCCAAGCTCACAACGTCACAGCCTCCCCCAAATCCCCTAAATCCCCTTAATGCCTGCACACCCCGGGATGCCGTGGGATGGGCACAGCCAGGTGCTTCTAAGCATGGGAAGAGGCATTTGGCTGAGTGTAATCCAGGAGCTGGCTCTAGAAATGCTGGGATAAACCAGCACTGCTGTGAGAGCTGCTCTGGGTCACCCATGGAATCTCACGGGCTAACAGGCCTGGGTTTGGATCAGGACGGTTTTGGCAAAACGGGAGATCCAGTTAATGATGGGGATATGGTTAAATGGGGGCTCTTCCCTCATTTCTCACTTAACAGGTCTAATGTTGGCAAAGCTGCTGGGGAGGGGAGGGGACTAAAAAGGGGCTCACCGAGGGCAGCAAATGTGTCTCTCAGATCCGCCTTGTCGATGAAGCCATCCCGGTTCTGATCCATGATGGTAAATGCCTGGAAGCACAGGAGGAGGGAGCACAGGCAGAGGGAGAATTGTTGGCCTCTGCAAAGGCTTTAGTACTCTCCTCCTCGTCCCTTCAGCTTGGATGGGACAAGGGCCCTTTGAGCCCTCCTGGGGTGGGGCTCTGGGATCCTCACCCAGCGAGGGAGCAACAACCCACCCCAATCCCTAATCCAGCAGCAATCCTGGCCCCTGCAGCCTCGGGCAGTGGCAACCCAAACCCTAATGCTGTAGAAACCCTTTCTTTGGCCAGAGCCCTCTCACCCCAGTATGAGACCAAGGACAGAAGCCAGCCTGACTCATCAGCTCCCCGACTGGGTCCGGTTATCCCTGGAACTGGAATCTACACAGGACCATGTGCCTGCCATGCAGGGGGTAAGAGCTCCTGGCACTGCAGGTGGGAGTTAGCTGGGAGATGTGCTCTGGCTCTCCAGGATGCTGCTCTGTGGGGTGCAGGTTCCTTGGAAGCTCAGAGTCAATGCCGTATTTAACAACGTCACTGAGTTGTTCTTCTCACTTTTAAAATAAAACGACCCAAAAACCGGGTGTGCTGCCTCTTGCTGAGAACCGGCTGTCCCTGATCTGAGAGCACCAAGGAAAGAGCTGAAGGTCATATCACACCAAGGACCCTCAGTCCTTCCCACCAAGCCCACCTACCTCTTTGAATTCCTGGATCTGGGCCTGCTCGAACATGGAGAAGACATTGGAATTAGCACCTTCAATCCTCTTCTTGGCTTTCTTGGGTGCCTGCAAGTGTTCCAAGATGAATCATTAACTCACTGGCTTTTTATGGAGTGGAATAAAAGCATGAAATTGCCCTTAGCCATGACTCCTTCGTGGTAGGTCTGGGCTGGGACTCTCTTCCCTGGGGGTTTGCTGGTTTCCTCCTGCAGCTCTGGGATACTGAGGGGCATTAAGATTCCTGCTTAAATTACAGCTCCTGATGAATTTAGCCAAATATGTCCATGGAAAGATGAGGCAGGAAATCACTTCAGGTGAAAGGCTTGGCACTGGGGTGAGATATCCCTTTTGGAACCCCAGCTTTGGGAGGGGTGCTGAGGCTGCACAAGGGCTGGAGTCATTAGGTGCTTCCTCACCCTGCTTTGCACTTATTAAAGTATCTGCTTAATAAAAAATTCTGCCTCCTCCTGCACTGAGGCTTGAAACAACCAAAACCAGCTCCATGTGTGTTGTAAAGAGTGAAGGACAGAGCCCCTGACTGTCCCACCCTGCCCATCATCCCTCATTCCAGTGCCTGCTCCAGCAGCTGTTCCCTCTCACTGGGGGATTCTGCCAAGAGGACGGCTTTGGGGGACACAACAACCCTTCCCTCTCACTGCATGGAGGTAAGGGAAAGGAGCAAAATGGCATTTGGACCCCAAAAGGTCTGCCCCCAGTCAGCATGGGAGACACCCCCCTATTCCCTCCGGGGTGCTGCTGATCCAGCTAGATGCTCCCAATTTGCTCACCCCCTTTCCAGGGCAGGAGGGACCCTCGACCCTCAGATCCCTGCTGCCTCCACCACTCTCTTTCCATTCAATCTATCCTGGTGAAAAGTTTAGCGGATTTTCTCTCTCCCCAATGGAGCTCTGGGCTCTCAGCACTCACCATGGCCTTGCAGAGCCGCCGATGTCGCAGCGAGGGGTGTCCTGGAGGCAGTCGCTCGCTCCCCCCGGCTCAAACAATAAATACACCCCCCTCCGGGTTAAAAATAGCCCCATGCCCACTTTTGGCTGTAATAGGTGAGTTGGCCGCCCCCAGCCCTGTTGTCTCTGCCTTTCTCTGGCCCTCTCTCTCTCTCTAATCTGGAATAGCAGCTTGTTGTTGTCACCGGCTGACGTGACATGTGAGCCCGGGAGGGTTTCAAGGTTAACCAAGTGCCAGGCGGCCCCCAGCTCCCACCCTGGGGATGCTGACCCCGGACTGCAGGGGAACAGCCCCACCTGCCTTTGTCACTCGGGTTGGGGCTGGGCTTGTCCCCTCTGTTCGAACATGCAGAGAGGGCCCGGCCCCAGGGGACTCCCAGCAACAATCCCACAAGCCTTGTGGAGTTTTCCCTCGGTCCTGCCAGGCATCTTTGGGATGCTTGGTGCCCCATCGCAGCATTGGCACGGCAAAGCTGGGCTCTGCTCAGCTGCTGGAGGTGGA